ATATTATATATAACGTATCATTGTGTCCGAATGAAGAAGTGTAAGAAGTGCATCCTAATATTAGCAATTGTCGTCTTTGGTACATATTGTACATATCGTGGTGTCCACATCACTTGGTGCACAGTTGAAATGCTCGGCTTTCTATTCAAACATTTCAGTGATCCCTACATCACCAGCAACAACAACTGTGAAGACAAGCACAGCTCCAGTCGCTACACCTTTGACTGCTGAGGGAATCACGACTCCAGTCACTACACCTTCGACTGCTGAGGGAAACACATCTCCAGTCACTACACGTACCACTGCCGAGGGAAACACATCTCCAGTCACTACACGTACCACTGCTGAGGGAAACACATCTCCAGTCACTACACGTACCACTGCTGAGGGAAACACATCTCCAGTCACTACACGTACCACTGCTGAGGGGAAACACAACTCCGGTCACCACACCTTTAACTGCTGAGGGAAACACTGCTCCGGTCATCACACCTATGACTGTGGAGCAAAGCCCGGCTCCGGTCACTACGCTATTGCAAGGCGGTAAGTAGTTAATAAAGACTCGGCAATGCGTTCTTTTTTGTTAAGACCTAATACTGTGCTAATTTCTGTTTCTGTCAGTTAATGGGAACCGATTTTAAATCACATTGCTCCAGTCGAGTCTGAGTGGGAGAGTTTAACAGTGACTGATTTGTCGAGAAGAGGAAGTCGAGTCTGAGAGTTATTGTGGGATACCAGTTCTCTATGCAGTTATGAACTAGTTTCCTAAAATAGTATGAATTTGATTATTACAAAGCTTAAAGGATATAATATTTCTGTAGGTTGTCCAGTGAGTTACACCTCATACGGGGATTCGTGCTTCAAGGCGTACAACCAAGTAAAAACCTACAGTCAGGCCAGACAGGTGTGTGCAGCGGACGGGGGGCTCCTCGCCATGCCGAAGGACAGAGACATGAACGACGTCTTGTTGGACCTCAAGAACGCCGTGGATCCCAACTCTCCTTTCTGGTTCGGCCTGAACAAACAGAACGGAGAGGGACGGTGGGCGTGGGAAGATGGAACTCCATACAGCCCAACCGCAGACTGGACTGGGTGGCAGCCAGGGGAACCCAACAGTAACGGAGGAGACTGTGTCAACCACCTCGGGGCCAGATGGAACAACGCGCCGTGCTCGTCCGCATCCAACTTCATCTGCCAGCTGAAGGACGGTATGTCAAAATTATGTCAACTTTACTTCTGCAAATTAGCAAACTTATTTTGGTCCGTTTCCTCTTCTTCAACTCCAAATTAATGTCAATGACCCGGACCACACGGTTGTCTCACAGTGATCCTTGTTGTTTGGTTAAATTGATGTAGCAAAGTGGCAGGGCCGACCTCCAGGGACTGGTCACCATATATGGTGTTGGAACAAATTATGTAACAATATGACGGAACAAGCTGGAGGGGCTGGTCACTATCAACTTGAACCTCGTTGTTAAAGTCAAAATAACCAGATCAGTAGTTGGGCTGGACTATGTTACGGCAAACATTGCAAATGTTACAGTTCTACCTTAAGCCTCGGTCACAACTCGCCGTACGTGCTTCTGCGTGCTGTCTACGTGCAAAAACGTGGGCAAACGTAGGGCATCCGTGCGTGGTGAGTACCACCTCCGTACGGAATCCTACGGATTTGGGAGCACGCAGACACGCCGTAGAACCTTAAGTGCATGTAATACTTTTTCTACGTGCGGTCTGCGGATTTACCACCCGTGCGTGCGAGTACGTGCGACGCGCGTGCCCCGTACAGCCTATGAGCGTGCAACGTACGGACTCCGTGAGTCTAACTTCACTATTCTCACGTGCAATTGCTGTACGGACAGCGCACGAAGCACGTGAGTGCCACGCACGGTGCTTGCGTCATCCGTGCTTCCTCCTCACTTCCAAGTTGACCTGCTCAATGACCACGCAGAACACACGTGCACCATACCAGGTGCTCCGCACGTGCAACGCACGTGCAACGCACTTGCAACGCACCTGATTTCTACAGTATATAAAGACGACTTGACGGGCGACTGCCAACTCGTCTCCAAGATGCCCAGGAAGGCTCAAAAGAAGTCTACCAGACAAGATCCAAAGAAACGGGCCGCGGAAGACACCAGGGCGGCTAGTGATGATGAAGTTAACAGGAGGTGCACGCACTTACAACGTGCGAGTGAGTAAGGAAATCGTGCGCACGCCGCACGTGTAGGTACGGCCTGTACGCGGCAACGTGGCAATCGCACAGAGATCGTACGTTGCAAGCACGTGCAACTCACTTACCACTTGCGCAACGTACGATGCACGCAACCGCTGACGGCCAGGCGTGTCGTGCAGACCACGTACGTACACCTTGCGAGTGACGTACTCCCTCGGCCGGCCACCCTACGTTTGCAGAAAAAACGTAGCAGACATAGCCACGACAAAAACGTACGGACAAAAAGCACGCACGGCGAGTTGTGACCGTCGCTTAACAGGCTGTTTCCTTACACAGCGATCCGCTGCCCCCTCGGGTACTTCCGGTGCGGACACGGACATGCCTGCACCCTGACCTGGAGGCGGTGTGACGGGAGGACGGACTGTTCGGACGGGAGTGACGAGGACGGTTGTGGTAAGCTGCTCTCACAAAGTCCTTTTAGTTCTCACCTACACAATCATACAGTTGCTCGTACAATAACCTTACTTGTAGATTCAATTTTCTTTCCAATGGAAGAAGGTCTTGATATTAAGCATTATTTACTCCTGCTCCCGGCATGTTTTTCTCACAATATTAACTCCCATCATCCAAAGTCCGTTGACTATACTATTTGTTTTGTCGTGGCCCTTAATGCTGAAAAAAATAAAAATAACAAGAAAATAAATAGAAATAAAAGAATAGAATAGAATCATTATTATGGTAAAAGTCCGATGATTTCATGATGCTGCCAAAAAAATTAAACTAAACTTGCATTTCGGGCAGAATTCTTAATGGATCATTTTTAAATCTTTGTCAGTGCCTCCTGTCGATGTTTAAAGAATGTGAATGGAACAATGGCTATTTTGTAATATGCAGAGTGCCTGCCGATTCCTGTGGATTTCAACCTCGGCGGTAGACTTACAATGTTACCCAATCAGCTGGGTCAGACGACGTTTGAAGAGATAAAGAATTCCTCTGTCCTGGAGCTGCTCAACAGTTCGCTCACAAACGGACAGAATCGACATCCCGAGTTCCGGGAATTCGCATCTACAGTGATCTTCCCGCAATGTGATGTACCCAAAGAGAACGACACTACCTGCTCTTTGTCTCGTAATGCAGACAACGCGACCTCTTGCATGTGAGTAAACATGCTTCGTTACGTTGATCATGATTTTTGACGACGCCTCAGGGGAGGAGCCGTTGGAATAGTACTGCTATTGAGTTGAAAATATTCTAAGAATTCCACGTAAAGCATTCAATAGGGAATTAAATTTTGTCAACAAGATAACTAAAGAACGACAGGAGGATTGGTTTCATACTTGCAGGATTGGTAGGGTGTGACTAAATCCAAAAATGATAGGATTTTGGGTCCCTCGTGGCTTCCCTAGGTACTGCAGCGGAACTTCTGGTCTTGATATTTCGCGATCGGGACATGCTAGGGTCATGAACTTTAGATGGAAGTGCTTAGAAAGAAGTCATGCGAGTAAAGGCCCCCTATCAGCTTGTTATGGAACTGCTTGTTATGGAACTGGACGATTTCTTTTTATCTAAAAGAGAGGTTGACGGATCGTCGTGATTTTTGGTATTTTGGTAAATAGGTAGCTTAACCCTATTCAGACCGGGCTTTTTTGGGCATGCTCAGACCGGTGGGGGGGGGGCCCGCCACCTGTAACTCAACAACCACATCATAGGGCCACCAAATTTGCAGAGAATGGTGGAGTAATTACATTAATTCATAACAATTTTTGTGAAATTATGACGTCATATGACGTCATCATGGCGTCATTTATATAATTTTTTCCGTAACATTTTTTCCGTAAAACTTAATGGAATACAACCAAACTTTAACAAAAAGTGTCTACGAGGGAATATTAACGTCTGCTAATACTTATGTTGCCCATAAAATGACGTCATGCATAATTAAGCTGTCGGTCATCTTGGATAAGAAATCTTGAATTTTGAAAATTGCATTTTTTTACAAGATATTGCCTCAAAACGCAACGCAAATGGACTAAAGATGCTCATATGAACGTTTTATGTGAAAAAACACGAGTTGAGACGAAAAATTAGTGAAAAAACATGCTTACACAAGAGCTAATTATATGGTCTGCCATCTTAAATTTTGACCGATGACGTCATCAAATTAGCATAAATTATAAATATTTAATGATAGAAATTATGTATAATTGTTATTGATGTTAAAAAGGAAGTTTAATTAAACATTAAACCTAGAAAAATTTTATGTTTGAACCAAAATTACCGATTTTTCCAAAAATTTCCCGTCAGAACCCCGTTGCCATGGCAACGCAAAAAATCAGGAACTCATCTAATTAATATGAAATTGTTCCCAGATATTTTTTGGGAAAAGTCACCAAATTTGACTGTTCTAGTGCAAGCCGTTCAGGCGCTATCTGAGATGAAATTGGGCGCGGGCCTCAAAAGCCTACCCGGTCTGAATAGGGTTAAGTGATGCTTGATATAATTGAATTACAATTATGAAAATCATCATCTAATTTGCATAATTAATGAAGCAATTCTATAAATCTGCTGTGTTCGATGTTAGGGCTTTAAAACACTTGTGACATTTGTAATTGAGAAAGACAAGATCTTAAGCAGATATTCATTAAGTAAATAAATACCTAATTTACATAATTAATATGAACTATACAATGTTATAGTGGTAATTGCTGGGAATTTAGTACTTGCCATACTGGCAGTTCAGTGAAGGTGAACATCACTAAACATAATTTATTCAAATTGGGTCCTAATTTGCGTAATTTATGAATAAATGCTAGAATACCCTTATTTTCAAGGGTATGTTTATTATGAAATCCTCGTGAGAAACTAATGACTGGCCCACATCCTTAAACAAGCACACAATAACCAAAACAGACCCCATGATCATCACTTACATCAAAAGAGAATCACGTCGCCGAGGCGTGTTTTAAACGCTACTTTTAAGTATTGGTAAGTTTTATTATTCCACAGTTATGGTTAGCAATAAGTTCGTTCATATTCAAATCAAATGAAACGTAAACGTTCGTGCTTAAATTGCATTTTCTTTTTAGTGTGTTTTAAAAGTAAGAAAACCTCATGTTGATATTCCTAAATCTGCCTGTGTATTTAGGAACAAACCACTGCTACCGTGCCGTTCGTGGTGTGAGGAAGTCCTCAACATGGCTGATCCCCGGATGAAGAAGCGGTTCCCATCCTGTGACTTGTTTCCACCACCACAGCACGACTGTTGGAACCCTGAACCAGCGACTAGGAACGGCGAAGGTAAAGAGAGAAATAGACTCATGACTTTCTGCTGGCTGTAGCATTTGTAATTGGCATGTTCCCATTCCCTGGTATTTACGAACAATCATGCATTTAGAGGTGCATTTATTTGTTTACCTTTAGGATAAATTGCTGATTTGTGGCCGTTTTTTCCTCCTCAGTTTGCTACCACGGTGGCGGCATGAACTACCGCGGCACACGGAGTACAGCCAAGTCCGGGGCAGAGTGTGTGAAGTGGTCCGCAGCGCAGGGAGGGTTCTACCCAGCCGCGTACCCCTGGGCCAACATGGATAACAACTACTGCCGTAACCCTACCGGTCTGGGGCGGCCATTTTGTCTGGTGGAAGATGGCAGCCAGCAGGAATGCGACGTCGTTTCCTGCAGTAAGAACCATACCTTGTTCCCGAGACCACACCCGAGATTTATGTCCGTGGTTCTCAGACATTTTATATTAAAATACTAGACAACTCTAATCTGACGATATTCACTCATAAGTAGTATAGTGCTAACAAAGTCACAGGCATTCCTCTCAGTCTCTCACATGTGTCTGTGCTTTACACTATTTTTATGCAAGAACAAAATACGTAGGAGTGATCTAGACTCTGAACTTTGAACTCTGTGTTGTTCTGCTCCAGGCCAAATCTTTGGTTTCTTTTTTTTATACGGAGTTCAATTCTGGTCCTTTTCTCCATAATAATGATTGATTTACCTTACCATTGCCTATGCTAACTCAGATACGAGAGGCTGCTGGGACATCGGTCCTCCTGACTACGGCAATAGAAGCCCTATGAAGAGGTTCTACTACGTGGGAGAAAGGATCGCCTTCACCTGCAACGAGGGGTACTACATAAAGCCCGGGTATCCTACCGAAGTGAGATGCGTCGAAGGAGGCTTCTGGCAACATGACAAGCCCAGTTGTTCAGGTGAATGACTATTAGGTCTGAGTACGCCTGCATTTTCTACACTTGCACAATTTAATTAGATGCAGTTTAGAAGAATAGGTAAGTCCTACTTATTGCCAAACCTATTAAATAATATTTTATTTTAAATATTCTTCCAATTGTTATGTACATTGATTAAGAGCGAGAAAGTTAAGCTTTCTACCTCCTTTGCACTGTCACGTTTCATTTATTATGGTTTCACCATGTACGGATGCAGTGAAGATATATTGTTTTCCTCGTGTTCCTACTTTTTCTTCTGCTCTTCATGTCAAGTCTTCAAATGAATTCAATATCTTTATTTATCACCGCCCGCCCCCAAAAAACGTTTTTTTTAGTCATATTCATAATACAGGCTTTTAGAATAGTTTAATTTGGACTTCTTGGATGTGTCATTGGTAATGTACTATAGCAGTATGTTTTACCATATTTAGAGTGTTACCATATTTGGGCATGGGGGCAGGAGCTCCATGTCCAAATATGAGCATAAAGACAGTAGCAGGTGTGGCCATGTTTGTAGATGTGGTTCCTATTTGGCTATTTAATTAATAAAGACCTGCGTGGTGGCACATATTTGTCTTTTTGGCCAGGAAAAAGGAGGGAACTAATTTATTAATCAATGGAAATATATCACATAACCTATATTTTTATATACCTTGCCATTTTTTAAACATTTTTTCAAATTTGGTTTAAAAATTCTTTCAACCAAGTTAGCTACAGATACATGTAGCACTGTGGTAGGTAAGGTCATTGACCTTTGTTGACATTTTTGCCTATGATTATGGGGGTTATCTGTAAAGATTTGGCATAATGTCTGGTGCAATTTTATGTACCTGCAACATGCAAATACATGGGCCCACTTGTAACTACATAATATGATTCTTCCAAGAATGACCTTAACATTGAGTATTGGAAATGGCTGTGTGTGGGGAGGGGGACAGATCCATTTTTGGTACGCGGGATGTGGTGAAGCCATTTGCTGCATTTGCTCCCGAGCAAATGTGTGTCATTTTAGGATTTTTTGTTTGTTAAGGTCCTAAATAAACAAATAAACAATAGTCATAATTTACAAAAGTATTTTTAATTTAGAACGCATGAACAACATTCAAACTTATAAAGGTTTATTAGATTTCTTTTAACATAAAATGCAAAGCCAAAACATACCATCATGGTCAATCTCAAAGTTAAAAAATCTGTTGATATATGTGTCTTCCTAACGATAGGTATGTATTGTCTCTTCCTCAGTGAATTTCGAGGATAGACTGAAAGCCGACCTGCTCGATGTGAACAATCGCAACCTGGCACCTGAGCCTGTTAGCCGTACCCAGCCTGACAACCCTAGCGACACTGAGAACCCTACCAACACTGACAACCCTACCAACACTGAGAACCCTACCGACACTGGGAACCCTACCAACACTGAGAACCCTACCGACACTGGGAACCCTACCGACACTGACAACCCTACCGTCACTGAGAACCGTGCTGAGACTGACAACCCTAACGAGGCAGAGACCCCTACTCGGATTGAGAACCACATCCGACCCGTCATCAGCTTTCATGGATCTGTAGAACAGATCGTTGACTTGGTGAGTTTCAGTATCTGTAACACATTTTAAATCCTCGTTTATTTATGACAAATAGACAGTTCGCGGAGGGATCAAAACATAACTGACCGATGCTGTAACTTAATCTTTCAGGAGGAAAAGAAGGAGCAGCTGGTTGCCTCTGTCGTCATCCATTTCGTAAGTCCACAGTTATTAAATATCTGTGCACTTATAGAATAATATCGCATTCATATAACCATGTCTCGTTTTTATTAGGAGGATTATGTGTTTTGCTATCATCATCATAATTTTGCTATAATTTTGCTGTATAATTCTTTGTTGTAACCAACACAGTAATAATTTGTTTCTTATTACTCCAGACATGGCAGGACAGCCGACTGAGCTGGGATCCAAAGTACTACAACAACATCTCGAATATCAGCGTCCCTGGCAGCAGCATCTGGACCCCTACACTTACTCTGAAGGGGAAGTATGTAGTGTCTTTTAAAACTATTATCATTGAATCGAAAATGAACCATGCCTGAATGTCCTGAACTGCAGAAAATAGCATTTTACTTGTAAGATAATTAATGAAAATAACATTACACTGATTTTAAGTCTTGTATGTCATTTAAAGTACCCGTTAAATAAAAATGATCCTGTAGTGCCAAACATTACACAATTACCTTAAAATATAACTAACAAAATGACCGACAATATTTTTGTTGACACTGGGATACAATGCTAGGAATGGTTTAATCAGTTTGACACTAGATGATGGTTATCTTACCAGTAAATTAACTTGTAAAAAACTTCTGATTACTCCACAGTGCTAATCCTTTATACCAAGGCCTACCAAAAATCGTTCCGGTCTGGATCAGTAGCAATGGTCAGGTAACCTGGAGTGTAGAAACCCTGACCACCACCGTGTGTGATGCGGACCCCTTCTACTTCCCTGCAGACACCATGGAATGCAACATCTGCTTTGCTGCATTTTCTTCAACCATCGGTATGAAATTGGAAGTATTCTATAAAAAAGATGTCGATATCAAAATAACTTTTATGAATATAAATCAATAAATAAAAAATCATGTAAATTAAATATAATATTTTAACGGAGCGATCTGGCAACTGTTTGTCACGGTTGACATCCCGGTCACTGTTTACCAATGATGATAATAATGATGATGATATTGCAGTGATTATATTATGGTTTTGATATATGTTCTTTCCCATATTCAATGTAAAAATTAAGGAAAATCGGATTCTTGTCAATATAAAATCTGATTTTGTCTGCATACTTTTTGGCTACTCTTGTCATGAAAAAGTTAACTATTTTACTGATAGTTTGTTACAATGATTTGTCGAACACAGAATGCCAAGATGGCAGTCCCTGTGGTGTCCTGTCTAACCAACAACTGGAGGGCGAATGGTACCGGAAGGACATGATCTTCGCAAAAGACAAGACGGAGGCGTGCTTCACTGTTCAGCTGGAGAGGATCCCGCTGTTCCACATCGCCACTACTGTTGGACCCTGTGTCATCCTGGTGACGCTGATGGTCATCACATTCGTCATGCCACTGGACAGGGGGGACCGGATCTCGTTCGGAGTGACCATTCAACTCTCCGTGGTCGTGTCTCTCGTGTTCGTGACGGATGTGCTTCCTGTCAAGGGGGCGCTGCCATTTTTCGGTGAGTTAACATATAGATGCGACCATGTTGTAAATGTTTTCCTTAGTTTAGAATTTTAAACTAGTTGGAAACTGAAATACCTTCTTGATTCCATTCATCTGGTTTTCTGCCACTTGTGCATTTTAAGTACGTAGAATTTATCTGCGCGACATTAAGTAAACCCTTAGATATCTTCCTCATGGCCAGGCCGGACTCCGTAAATCAATGGGTAATTCTTGGAACTTGAAACCTAAAACTTTATCTTCTTGCAGACACTAATTCTGAATAAATAATCCTAAGCAACCTAAGCACAAAATACTAATGAAATCCAATGAGGACTGTAAATCTGTTTTGCTAAGACTACACCCGCTCTCGAACCACTACTTATAGATGGACGGACACTAGCGACAGTTGTTCACGTCAAATTACTCGGTGTGAAAATACAGATGATCACCGTAGCAAACAGAAAACTGTTCCGTTATCATCGTTGTAAATGCCTATTAGGTCACTAGTGTCCGTCCATCTATAAGTAGTAGTTCGAGAGCGGGTGTAGTCTTAGCAAAACAGATTTACAGTCCTCATTGGATTTCATTCGTATTTTGTGCTTAGGTTGCTTAGGGTAACTGTTAACCGTGGTAAATATTCCCGGAACATGTCGGTAACTGTTAACCACGGATGCTATTACAGCCGCGCTGATCGTAGTGTGCATGGCGCTGATGGGACTTTTCCTCTTCTTCACCATGGCCATCATCACTATTCATGACAGGCAGGGGAGCCTGTCTCCAATGGCGAAGACCTTCTTTCTCCGTTACATGGCAAAGTATGTACTCTTCGTAACACTAGCTCAGGTTAGACCGAATAGAAATGTACAGAAATAGACAAATACCCTTTAAGTGAAACTCATACATCTTTATTGTTGTTTCGTTTTTTTAAGTTATAAGGTTTATTAGGCCCTTTTACATGTTTAGGCTGATATGAATTTAACGTACCAGGAAAGATTCGTTATCTATTTTTATACGATGGAATCAAATTAGCAACTTAATACTTTTATAAACTTTTTCTGCATCTGTTACCCTTCCAAGCTGCAAATTAGTATGTATTTTAGGCTCTTTTCTTTGTAGATTTTGTATATTTCTTTGTAGATGATGATTCTTTGTAGATTCAGTCTGATTTTTAAAGTATCAACCTTGGTAACATTTTAACATTTTATTCATTGCTTCTACTTTGAACATAAAGTAATCTGAACGTTTGGACATGCCTATTGATATACGAGTGAACGTATGTATCATAAAGAAACATCGACCTCATTTTTTTCTTGGTGGTGTTTGTTCAGGTGCCTACTGCTCGGAGATCTGACAGAGAAGAAGGTTGCAAGCGACGATGGAGAGACTGGTCCCAGCAGCAAGAAGCTGGCCTGGCCTGCCGATGCCATGGCGGTGGTAGACGTGAAAAGCCCGGCTGATGTCCGCGAGACAGCCCGTCAGCCGCCCGCGCCGCCCACGCGCCTGGAGGCCGCGGTCTCACGCCTGGAGGTTGCCGTGTCCTCCGCCTCCCGTAACATGGAGGAGCAGGCCGAGGCCATGAAGAACGAGCAGGAGGTGTCTGACTACACCCTGCTGGCTAAGGTCCTGGACAGGCTCTGCCTTGTCATGTACGTCATCAGCATTGCCGTGGCCGTGCCCATGACCATGTATCTGGGCAAGTAAATTAGAGTTGTGTAAACGTGCCTTAACACAACCAAAAAGTGCGACGTGATTATTATGATTATTATGCATTGATTCAGCTTTAAGTAACATGCATGTGCAGTCAGGACATGCCCTTACAAGGGCTGTAGTCCTTTGAGAACTTTAGTAAGGTAGTAACCCCACTGGTGGAACATACATACTAAATTTGTATCTTCAGTATGATCAATACCATACGAAGGTGAATGTGTGCAATGGGGCTTATAGTTCGTATGGAGCATATAAAGGAGACAACATATATATCTAAGTTAAGTTACGTATCTAACCAGGAAAGACTTGTGGTGTTTTCAAAGAGTGGAAATGAACCGAGATGTACTATTAGAGTCGCCTTCTTGGCAGTATCTTGCACCTCATATCTTAGATTGCATATTCTATCTGTAAACTCTTGGTTCATCAGAGCCTTCAAAGAAATGACCTGTCCGTGACACTTTGTAAGAATTGGTTCCCTGTGTAAACAGAACGAAACACAACTTGACTGTAACAATTGCATCTACTTTCATCTATTCATACATTCATCTGTTATCTATTCAGCTCAGAGGACATTTATACACAGCCGGACCTGCCAAACTAATCGGTGGCTATCAGATAGGGTTAGTCTTGAGACCAATAGGGAAAAACCGGGGAAAAGAATTTGTCCATCTATTACATGTAGACTATTTTTCTTGATCTGTAAAAATTTTGCGTTAGGATAACAAGTAGCTTTTGTGTAATTATAGTAATTATGACCAAGAATATATCTAAAACCTATACCTAAAACCTGTATATTACTGTCTCTTGTCACGTGATTATCCCATCAAGTCACGTGACAAAAGAACTCCAAGACGAGACCTGAATCGGGTTGATAAAGAGACAGAGTTTCGAAAGCTCCCCAGCATAGCTGAACTTTCGTTGTGTGTTTAGGTATAAATATTTTGTCACAAGAATATATCTCATATTCGTATAATTGGCATATATCGCCTTTTATACTAATGTGAGATATATATCAGATATATTGCATGATTATGTCAGTATATATCGTATGGAGCATATAAAGGAGACAACGTATATATCTAAGTTAATTTACGTATCTAACCAGGAAAGACTTGTGGTGTTTTCAAAGAGTGGAAGTGAACCGAGATGTACTATTAGAGTCGCCTTCTTGGCAGTATCTTGCACCTCATATCTTAGATTGGTCTGTAAACTCTGTTTACATATATATCATTTTATCATGTTTCAGCATGCAATAGTGTGAGTCAGTCAACCTGGATCCCATATGAACATTATGGCGATAAGAACTATGGTTAACAATGAAGGAAGAAAACAACTTGTATGTGGGGATTCAGGTTTAGAGCTTTTTAGCATATGTTTAAACAAGAAATACTTTTGAAAAAGCTGGCCTTTCGCTTAGTTTGTGTATGCGAAATTGTAATGAGCTTGAAGATATTGTTTTAATGGGGTAAAAGGTAGAAAAGTCTACCTCTACTTGCATCATTAAAACTGTATCACCTTGATGGTAGTTTGTAGCCTGGGTACCATCCTACTTGTATGCCGGGGCTCCCACACTCGCTTCCCTAAGAAGTAGTCTGGAAACGCTTGTATCTATTTGGCTTGGTGATGATATCACATAATGAGGTAGGCCAAATGGGGAGGGCTGGGCGGAGCCTCTTCCACTAGTAGATGACCCATCAGTACAAAGTCCACATGGCCATGTGCTGTTTTGGTAAGGGTAAAAAAGTTGCTGCTTTTGTATGACAAGTACAGCCACAAATTTACCTTGAGTACAACAATTTCTTGTAGTTTTCTTTAAGCAAGATGTTCTTTGTGGCTCTGTTACTTCAAATGTTAGCAAAATCATGACAACAGTGTCTCTCAATGGCTACTACAATCCGTCCAAGATAAATAAACAAACCTTTCCTTGGTCAGTGATACCTGCTGAGCAGGCAGGAGATAAGCATCACCACATACTGAGAAGGACGTTAGGCTAATGAACAAGACAGGAGGGACCAATCAGCACACTCGGGCAAAATCTGACCGAGCCAGACTGTTCAGATCTAACCATTTCCAGACTACTTCTTAGGGAAGCGAGTGTGGGAGCCCCGGTATACAAGTAGGATGGTACCCAGGCTAGGTAGTTTGCTGATAATGTTACTTTTGTTAGTTAGTTGTAAAACCAATACATAAACTAAGCACTACATTCGTCTCTACCTGATTCGTGTGCCACATATGCTTGCATGGGCTTGGCATCAACATAGAATCTGCATGGAGCAATGTCTCGCTATCATAGAACCACGCGGAAGGACGAAAGGAACGCACATAGCGGTCTCTATGAGGCTGCCAAAGGCAAAAATGTTTAAAAGCGCGAGTTTTTCAATAAAACATAACGCAAAACTTGGGCCTATTTCATTACTTATTACGTTGTTGCATACATAAAGTTTGGGCATTTGTGCTAATTCTATACATTATTAGAAGAGTGTTGCCCCACCTCAATAACACAGCTCGACATCCCTGAAAGAGTATTGAAGCCTACCCGCCAAACTTACCTACCTGTCACTGGGACTGTCGGATGTGACTCAGGGCTGAACAGTCCTTAGCTCTAAGTATGGAATAAAAACGTTTTAAATTAAAAAAGAAATGAATAAGAAATGGGCAAAAGCAAGAAAAAGGAAACATATACTTTATTTACATAGCAACAATATCTAACTATCAAGTAAAAAAGATTTTTAAAAATCCCTGGACTTAAACCCCTGACCTCCTAACTTTGTGAGTGGAGAATGTTAAGTCGCTTACCAATTGAGCCAAGTTTAGATGCACGAGGAATCATAGACTATAAATCAGCTTTTAGTACAATGTAAATTTCCATTGCTACAGTAAAACAGGTGCATGACTATTCGCTCTTGCTCTGCATACCATTGCTATGAGTCACCCAGGTCCAGGGACACAACATTGTGTACAGATTTTGTCTGAAAATGCCCCCCCCCCCAAAAAAAACTATTCTAAAAGCCTGAATAGCAAAGTGTGACATGTGGGAACTTTGCAGCCCAGATTTGACCACCGTGATTCTAAAATCCTGTATAAATGGGAAAAAAGGCCATACTGAATTTCAGGTCATTCAGTAACAAAATGAAGAAATTGAATCAGTTTAAAGAAATGGCAGGAGGAGAAGAAGGGGGAAGCTGACGAGAAGAAACATACATGAGGAAAAACAATATGTCTCCATCACACCACTGCGCGGTGTTTCTGAGCCCACCGCCCCCCCCCCCCCGGGTACAGGCATGAGTAATATAACGACAGCCTTTATTGTCCAGGAAGTCTTGAACCTCTACAAAGAGAGAGAAAGGAGATTGTATGGATGTTTCCTGGACACAAGAAAAGCATTCGATAAGCATGGCTTGAATGCTATATAACTGAAATCTATTTAGAGAAGGGACGAATAGGAAGATGTGGAGGCTTCCCGAAGCAATGCACACATCAAGTAGAAATTCAGTTTTACTGAATAGAAGACACTCGAGAGAACTTGATCAAATCAGCAGTGACAGACCACATTATGAGAAATAAATGTGAAATAGACTGGGACCGGACCAGAGTAATAGACAGAGAGGACAATAGATGTACACATTTCGTTAGAGAGGCTGTGTGGATCGGGAAATTTACTCGTGTCATGAACAAGGATGAGGGGGAATACAGTCACGTTTGGGACCGTTAGAGTTATTGTGTTAAATGACTATCATGTACATTTGACACTGTACGTTTGGAACCGCATTGTGGAATCTTTTCTATGGACCATGGACTCTACATTATGTAAAGCTGTCGGAATGTACACGACTGAGTCAACACTCACTGGTGGAACATGGTGCATTCTGTCACCATGACGGCTATATATGTACAGCAAATACACAGAGATAACATAAACATACGTAAGGCCACAGCAAGTAATTTTTGGATGACATCAACCCGTGCATGAATTTTCTTACGAAAAAAAAAAGAAATTTAGTTGCCCTCTGACAGTGGTCAACATGCCGTAAATGGGCAAAGATGCTGCCGGAACGGGGATTGAAGATAAATATCAAGGAGACAAGAAAAGGCTCTGTCTCTTACGTACTTTTTACTTTAATATAGGTGCCAGTAAACTTAGCTCAATATATGTACGTATCATTTCTTGTTTTAATTAACAATGTTTATGATGTCAAAATTTGAAGATGCAGGAATCTTGCTTTTTTGGCCAGCCTTGTTGTTTTCGCCCTAGCGCATTAGATTTGGATTACTAGTATGTGGCTTCCTAGACATCTCCTTCAGGCCTAGATGTTCCTCAAGCCTCCGGGTCAGCTGAGGGGGAGTTTTGACAGGTGTTTGGTCAGTACATTTCCTGAACAGCCAATTACTCTAATAATTACAGATATGAGATCTGTGGTGGAAGCAGAGGCGGCGGCAGGAAATTTTGACTGGGGAGGTCAGATTTGTATGGAACCCACTATCGAGTGCCAAAGGCGCGAGCCGCCGCGCACGGCGAACCTAGGGGGTTCCAGAGGTATGCTCCCCCTGGAAAATTTGAGATTTTAACCCTATGAAACGCGTTTTCCTGCATTTTGGGGGGAAGATTTTGCTGCTACACGAAGCTAAATTTTGAGTACTTTGTAGCTAAGTTTCTTACTCGCTATTCGAGTGCATGGCGTCCACGAAGTTCCTCTACATGCTATTTTAATACCTCAATACACAAGGGGGGTCGGGGCATGCTCCCCGGGAAAATGTTAAAATCTTGACCCTCTGGAGATCTCTGGAAACACCATTTCCTTCCACCTGTGCCGCCGCCACTGGGTGGAAGACATCGCTGACCGCAGGACTGGTTGACGGAGCAGACGCGACACGCGGGAACACACACCTCACGTCAACCAATGATCATCCTGCACGTCAGCAAGTAATTTCTACTGATGACATCCGAGCGCGCATTTTTTTCGCCTGACTTTGGAAAATAAAAGCCCTCTGACAGTGATCAAAATATGACCCCAGGAGACAAGAAAAGCCTTTGATGCAGTGATGTACTTCATTAATTTGTGTGATGTTCCCACTAAAT